TCATTGATCCAGGCTAGGTGGCGCGGGCCAAAGTCCCAGCTGCTGGGGAGGTTGAGGTAGGAGAATTGCTTGAGCCCAGGCCTTGGAGGCTGCAGGGAGCTGTGATCGCACCACTGCACCCCAGCCTGGGTGACAGAGCAAGACCTTGTCTCTAACAACAACAAAAAAAATCATGGTACTAACAGGTTGGGCACAACGGAAGAAAGGGTCAGTAAATTTGAAGATGGGTGAAATGCAAATTAAAACCCCAATGAAATACCCACCAGAGTGGCTAAAATGAAAAGAATGACAATATCAAATTTTGGTGAGGACGTGGAACAATTTTGGAATTCTCATACATTGCCGGTGAGGGTGTAAAATGAGTTAACCACTTTGGAAAATAGTAAGGTACTTTCTTATAAAGTTAAGTGTACTCTGCTATGGTCTGGATGTTTGTATCCCTCCAAAATTCATATGCTGAAATCCCGACCCCCAAGGTGATGATGGTGTTGGGATGCGGGTACCGTGGGAGGTGACTAGGCAGAGCCTTCATGAACGGGAGAGAAGCTCCTTGCCTCTTGCATCACGTAAGCACACAGCAAGAAGGCATGGCGCCATCTAAGAACTAGAAGTGGGTCCTCATCAGCCACTGAATCTGCAGGTGCCTGATCTTGGTCTTCCAAGCCTTCAGAACTGTGAGAAATTTCTGTTTTACAAGCTGCCCTGTTTATGGTATTTGTTAGAGCAGCCTGAAAGACTACAACAGCCTCCTGACGGCTAGGTAGTATTTACCAAGAGGAATGAAAATGGAAGTCCACAGAGTTTGTTCACCAATGTTCATGGCAGCATGAGGCATAATATTGTAGCCCCAAACTGGGAACACCCCAAAAGTACAACAGGTGGATGGAAAAATTGTGAAATTGTCATAAGATGGTATGCTATCACGTGATTGCACACTATTCTGCAACAAGGGTGCATCTCAAAAAAGTACTAAGCAAAGGAAGCCAAACAAAAGTGTGCATGCTAACTACACATTTCCATTTATGTGAGTCTTAAGAACGGGCAAAGTTGTGATGAGATCAGAGCAGCAGTTGCCTCTCATAGGGTGTGGTTCACTGGGAAGGGGCAGGAGGGAACTTTCTTGTTCCCTACATCTCGTTTGGGTTGATAATAAAACGAGCACACGTTTGTCAAAACTCACCAAACTGTGGCTATGAGAATCATAAATGGAAAAAAATGCATCCACTGTATACTTAAAATCTGTATCTTTTTGTACTATAAATTATGCCTACATGTAAAAGAATAAAGAGTGTCTTTTTAGAACGAAACCTTACTGTTATTTCTAATTACTAAGTACTGTGAGAACAGATCTGTCCTCAGCCCCTCCCCAATTTTGACTTTTTTATGAGTATGTGCTAGTGAGTGAGAGCACAAGCTCTGGGCCAGACCACCTGGGCTGGTGCCTCTCTGCCCCTGCCTTCTGGGGACTTGGGTGAATTACTAAATTTCCCTGTGTTGCAGTTTTCTCAATGGTAAAATGGGGATGATAGCTCCTTAGAGGCAAGGTAATACATGCCAGCCCTTGTATAGTAAGGGCTTAATAAACATTAGCTGAGGCCGGGCGAGGTGGCTCACACTTGTAATCCCAGCGCTCTGGGTGGCCAAGGCAGGAGTATCGCTTGAGGTCAGGAGTTCAAGACCAGCCTGAGCAAGACATTTAGACATTTCAATTTAATCTTCACAACAGACTGAGGTAGGTGGAGCAAAGTGATATTATCCCACTTAACACATGAGAAAACAGGCCCAGGAATAAGCCCTAGATCAGCAGGGAGCAGCTAATAATTTTTTTCCATCTATTAATATTTTCAATATTCACTGAATTTATTTAAAAGGATATATGTCCATTAAAACTGTTACCAAGAAATGTTTTACACCTGTGGAAATCCGACCACATCTGGGACATATGGTAGGGGTCTAGTCAGGAAAACAGCCCACACCAGGGGATTCAACAGAGAAAACATGGAGACAGCCACAGCTGGACGCCTGAGACCCCTCAGGTGGAGCCTGGGTGGGAACATGCTGGCTCTGTGATGACACCCCAGGCTGTGGCAGGATCCAAGGGGCCTGAGGAAGGCACAGGCAGAGGGGCTGTCCCACACAGGGCAGTCAAAGGAAGGGGTGTGGGCTGGACGTGGGGGCTCTTACCTATAATCCCAGTACTTTAGGAGGCCAAGGTAGGAGGATGGCTTGAGCCCAGGAGTTCGAGACCAGCCAGGGCAACCTAGCAAGACCCTTTCTCAACAAAAATAAAAAAAGTTAGGCAGGCATGGTAGTGCATCCCTGGTGCTGTGCCCAGACCACTGCTCCATCCCAGACGCCGCCTGGTAGGTGCTGCCTTAGTGGAGGGATGCTCCCACCCCGTGCGTCACTGCAAGGTGTGCGAGCTCCCAGCTGCGTCGGGCTCCCACCCGCACCCACACGTTCAGTCCACGCAGCCTGCAGAGGGCCCATCCTTGGCCCTCACTGCAGCTGGAGGCAGCCTGGAAACGTGGCCCAGCCATCAAGTGGTGGAGCCAGGCTCGTGCCCAGGTCATCCTGAGGGCTGTAGGCACGGGGTGGTGCTTAGTGACACCCCACACACAAACACGGACAGAGGGCATCGCAAGTAACGGTAGAGGTGGCTTGGCAACGCAGTTCAATATTGCCCACTGTTTCCAGGAAAAAGGCTTTTGTCAAAGTACACTTTTTTAAATCAGAATCTGGAATGTTCATTGTCAAATGAAAGTGTTCGTAAAGGCAAGCAGAGGAATCCAATAAATGCTTCTGACTTAGAAGTTACTGACTGCCGAGAATTCCTTCTCATAAAGGAGGGGCTTGGGGGCTCTTGTAACAAACGTTACGTTCATCCATCAAGCTGGATAGCAGGGGTGTAAAAAACCCTATTTTCCATATCCCCCATAATCTGCTTCCTAGCACTGCATGAGGTATCAGGCTTCTGAGTGACCTGGTGGTTTTTAAATACTGAGCCTTCTATCAGGGATAAATCCCTGGTCCTACGCTCACCCCAAATTCCTGACGGTATCTGTACCACTCAAGGCCAGGAAACAGCTACCTGTACATCTGTGCCAAAACTGCTCTCGAATCCCCACTAATAGCTTTGTAAGAGGACGCAGGATGCAGCGTCGGTTTGACAAAGTAGATACAGCTTAAAAGTAAATCTGTCAACCAGCTAGTTGCCTGCAAACGTTCAGCAACTTTAGACAAAAAAGTATCACATCCTCAATACTTCACCACAAAATATGGTGTCAGGCAGTTTTCACTTAGATCTACACAGTACCGAACTGCCCGACCCCTGGGCACGGAAACCAGTAAAGTGGGGACGGGCGAAAAGGCGTAAATCCCAGCACAGAGTTAAGTCCTGTGACTACTTCTCTCCTCTTCCGTGCTCTTTAAACCACGCTGGCCCTTAACAATATCTACCTGAAAACTCCACACCTGGCAGCTCTTACCGATCAAAACCAGAGTACGCTGGGTGTCACAAGGTAGAGATCTGGGAGTTACAGGCCCGTCGTATCCATGACGACCCGCGGAGGTAGGGGCCAGGTGGTAACACTCGGGAACTGAGCTGTCACCCTGAAGAACAGCCACCAACCCGTCCCCTGGTTTATTCCTACAAACTCACCCTCCTTTTCTATTCCTCGCAAAGGGCAACAAGTGCAGTATGGGCTAAAAAGGGAAGAAATGTGGGTAGCGGCTACTCTGTTGTGGTCAAAAGCAACAAGAAGTCAGATAGCACATCCTGTCTGAAACTTTGGCAGAACAGTAAAATTATCTTTAAAACAAACATAGTGTGTATTAACATGAGATTAAAAAGTTAGTCCCAGATATGACAAAACATAAATATTAAAATGAAGCCCCCCAGGAAATATGAAAATCTTTACAAAAAATAGTTTATTGCACAAAATTTAAAGAATTCCCAAGCACACTTAAATTTATAAAAAATCAACATGCTTTTTAAAGTTACAATTTGTTATACCTGGTGACACCTTTCCTCTGAACAGCCACAGCTTGAGGATTCTTTTGTGAGGAAATTTTTAATAGGAATGAATAACCACTGAATTTTCTAGACCCCCTACAACATCCCCCTCAGGGACCCTGTTATAACCTGAGACCACCATATAACGAGATTCTCCTCGAACTCTGAGTCAATAAGCCTGTCAAGAGGAAGGCTCCGGGGCAAGTACTTCCACTCCTGGAACGTGAAGTGTATGCTGGTCCCTTTCACTCCTAGAATCTTTACAGGTGACACTGAGTTTCTGTTAAAAAAAATACTCATGGAAGTCGGAACATACATCATGGTGGTCTGCAGGCCCACGGCTTTTGCGGGGTCCTGTACCAAGAAAAGTAAGTTTCAGACGGAGGGTGAGTTTAATGTAGGCGTCCTGCAGTGCTCCGCAGGCCATCCTCGAGGGCACCGTCCCAGGAGCCAGGCCTGGGACAGTCAGACTCACGTCCTACCCAAACACTGCCTCGTACATACTCCAAGCACCAAGGCACATAAATCGGTAAGATCCGTGGCATCTGTCTGACATGCACCATGGAAAAAAAAATCAACGAAAACCACACTGCAGTAAGTTTTCTGGAGCATAAGAAAAACAGGTAATGACATCACAAAGTGCCCAAGCCAACATTCCCTGCAGTAGGACACGGTGTACAGCGTGAGGCTGAGCAACACGCACAGGCGCAGTGCGGCGGTGATCCTGTTCTATCAAGTAGCACTCCGGACTCGATGCTGTCTTCCACGAGTGTAACTCAAAAGCCCCATTCCTGCCCACAAGAACAACAACAATCCTAACTCCATTCACTGAAGAATCTGGCTCTGGGAGGCAGAAGAGCCAGGAGAGTCCCTTGGAGACAAAAAAGCAGGCAATTTAGAAATCCGACTTCCTCGTTAAGGTGACTTCCCGAGGAAGCCCAAAGGCAGTGTCAGCGTGAACACAGGAGGCCTCGCGCCCAGAGCCAGAGGCTGTGCGTGAAAACACAAGGAGCAAACACGGGCCTCGCCCCGCGGGTGGGAAGAGAGACAGGCCAGGCCCTGCTGGACCAGAAGAGGGTCCCAGCGACAGCTGGCGCAGGGCGACACAGAACACCGAGAGGTGCTGACTCTGCGGGTGTGCACAGGCTCTCGTGCACACGTGCACATGTACACGCACAAGCACACACGCAGGACAACCAGACAAAGGGGGAAGGCGTGAGGAACGGAGATCTGCTCTCACTGGATGAACACACTCAGAATCAGTTCATCCCAAGAGAAGAAAACCACACCACGAACACCACTCACCTGAAGACCGTCTACACGCAAGGAGAAAGCAGCTCTGCCATAGAACGGGTCTGAGTGTTATTTCTTGGTTTTAAAATTAAAACAAAGGGTAAGGCAGCCAAAATAAATAAGAACGTAAGCCACCATTTTCTTTCTAATGGTACGAAGACAATTTAGTCAAAAATGATTTCCAACTTAAAAAGCAAAATATATTTATAGTGAAGTTTTCAAGTATTATTTCAAAATTAACCCTGTACAAATGATACATGTATTTTAGAAGTTCAAATACTTGCTAGGGAATATTTTGTAAACCCTAAACATCTTTGTGGTTAATGCCACCTCAACCTTGTCAGTTAACTTTCTAACAGTATCTCACAAGAGAACACAAACTGCTGCTCCGCAGAACAGACACGTAACACGTGGACACGAGCACACCTGGACCGACCAATAACACCCAGAGAAGGGCCACGTGGACCCAGTCTCTGTCTCTTCCAACCCATGCCAATAAATATTATTTTAGATTTTCTTAGCAAACTAAGGGAGAAACTTACAACCCTCAACTCTCCTGGTGAATCAGCGCCTGCACTGTTTCAGTATTTTAGGTGAGAAATGTGAACCTCACACACTTAGTGCCGATTTTAAATAAGGCGCCTGTGTCTGAGGCACCTCAGGAGAGCACAGCCGCCTTCCTCATGGTGCCGGCCTGTGCTCGAGTGACACCAGTGTGACCGCAGAGGATCTGGGGTTTCTCTTGATGACTACACCAACAGAGGCTTCTTGCAGGCCCTGAGGAAGAGTTCTCCCTCGGGGCAGAGAAGTGTGAGCCCTGGAGAAAGGCTTGTGACTGTCCCTTGTCTATAAAGCGTTCAGGCTCAGATGGAACCTCAGGAGCCTCTGCGGGAAGCCCCAGCCTCTCTTGCCCTCGTCTGCCTTCCTCCCCCCACTCTGGCTCTCCCTGCGCCCCCCAAGCATCGGGCCAGCGTGAGGCAGCCTCGGCGTCCTGAGCCTCCTGGCGGACGTCAGGTCTGACCAAGGGTTGATCGGCTCCTGCCCAGTGGTCTGACAGGGAGAGACCAGGCTGGAAGGAAAGACCCTCAGAAATAAAGTAAAACTAAACAAAGGACCCTTTCTGTGTAAGAATATTTGGTTTCAGAACGTAAATAATTATATTTCTTAAAATAAAATTTTCTGACTGAAATCCCTAACTCCTACATGTACATTATTTCCAGACAGCAAATTTTCAAAAGGCAATCAATAGAAAGACAATCGTGTGAGCACATACTTCCTAAAGATTAGATTATGATTTTCGGCATTTATATGCATATCCTGTGGTGGGATAGCTATTGAAAAAATTAACAAAATAAAAAGCCAAAGGTGCAACTAAAATTTTGTTTCTGCAGGAAAGTGAAGCTCTGCTGTGTGGAGCAGGGACGTGAATGCCGCACCCCACGGGCCGCCCACCTGTGCAGGTGCTGCTGCCGCAGACCTCGTCCTGCAGCTTCTACCAGAACTGGCTGCTCTCACTTAGATGCCTCTGCCGCAAAGAACCCTCAAACACAACCAAGACCTCCGCACTGAGCTCTGAACGAGGTGTCTAAGATGTGCTCATCTCGCGGGAAAGCTAACTGTGACATTCAAATGACTGTTTCTCCAGTCCTTGGCTCTCCTTCTGTCGTTTTACTCCTTGTTAAAGGCAAAAGCAGAACGTAAATTTCATTTCTTAGAAAAACACAGAGCACACAATCAAATAAATAACATGGATAGAAGAGGATTCCTTTCCACAGTTACAAACACCTGGCGGTGGAGCTGTGGCAGTCACTGTCCCGGTCCTTCTTTGGAAGCCCTGTTCTGACTGTGTTTCTGCGTGTCGCCCCGGGGGTTGGCGTGGTCGCCCAGGAGGGCAGGGCCCGCGGTGGCTGGGTCCGAGTGGCGGGCCTCCGCCTGGGTCCAGGAGGACAGGGACTCGTGCACGGTGAAGGTGTGCTCCTCCACCTGGCGCTGCAGGCTGTCCATCTCCTGCCTGCCAGACACGAGGAGGCAAAGGAAGAAAGCCCAGGTCACTCGAGGGCCACGCAGAACCAGTGCTCCACGGGCTCATCCCTAACAAGCTTGAACTGAATGGCAGTTCGCACCCTGGCATCGGAGCTGGCTCCTAGTGCCCTCAGAGACCAGCGAAGCCAACTGAGGTTTTGCTCAGCAGGACCTGAGGTGTTCTCGGCATTTTTCTCTACACTGTGCCGAGGCCAACGGACACGTGTCTCGGGCTTCTGCTCCCACCGGGAATGTGGCAAAGACACAGAATTGAGGGCCCGGGTCGCTGTGGGGACCAAAGCTGTCCCTGAGGCCAGCTGCACACCTGACTTCCCCTTCATGGCCACACTCTATGAGCATCAGCCTCTGCTGCCCTGAGCTCGGAGGCTCAGCCTACAGGCTGGTGAGTCACAGGGTCTGGTCTTCCAGCTTCTAAGGGCTCATCCGGCAGTTTCACTCCAGGCAATTCTCACCTGACAGTGTGAAGCCAGAGGCCCTGTGTGTGAGTAACCCCCACTCAGTAGAGACCTGCTCAGACTTTACTGGGCATCGGATGCTGGCAACAGGAGAGACCCCTCCAGGTTAAACACATTGTTAGCTCTTAAGTAAACGGAGCACAGAGCAGGACGTACTTGAGCTGCTGGAGACAGCTGTTGAGGTTCTTGAGGGGCTCCTTGCTCACGGCAGGTGGGGGCCGCAGCAGCTCCTCCAGCAGCGAGGCTGGGACGGGGCAGTCGGGGACCTTGATGGGGGTGGCAGGGCTGGAAGGGCTGGCCTCACCTCTCAGCTCCTTTCTCTGTTGTCAAAAGCACATCGTCAGCCTGCACACCACCCCTCCTCCAGCACATGGGCCCCCCCAGCTCAGCACAGGGCCTCCGGGAAGGGGGGCCTCCGGGAAGGAGGCCTCCAGGTCGCTGTTGCGTCAGGAACTCAAAGGAGTTCAAGAATTTCTGGCTGGATAAATAACCTTCTTTCTAATGCACATAACAAAACACAAACAACTTAACTAAATCTGGATCTTCAGGAGGATGGAGCTTAATCCTAAACTAGAACCCTCATACGGGAGCTTTCCACAAGAGATTGTGGCCGTCTTTGAATTTCCCTAAGAAATTAAATTTTCCAACATATCTGACTCCCTTTTCTAGGACTTAAAACTTTTTCACAGATAGGCAATGATGCTAAATAAACCTTTGAATCTGAGAGGTTTCTATGCACTTGCTTCCTGGGAAATGCTTGTGCAGACTGGGTGTAACGAAACTGCCGGGTGTGCAGACACTCCGGGCAGGACAAGGACAGCAGCTCCAGAGTCCCTGGCCCAAGCCCACCCAAGCAACCGCTGTGTCCGGCTCCTAAGACACAGCAAGGACTGCTCCATCGCAAAGTCTTCTCTCGTTTGGCTTATGAAGAGTACAACAGCAAAATGGTATTTGAATTCAGGAAAAGAAGAAACACTCTTTTGGAAAAGCCGCAAAATAAAACGACTTGGCCTGTTGCCCAGGCAGAGACTCTGCTGCCATTTGCTCAGGGCTGGTTAAATGCACCTGTTTACATCTGAACAACTAGAAGCCTCCCGTCCACACGAGCCCAAGGCAGGCTTGAGCCCGCGTACCGTCTTGGCCGCGCCCCGGCGGAGGTCCAGCTTGAGCTGCTGGTTTAGCTGCAGCAGGGTCTTCATGTTGTTCTTCAGTTCCGACACTTTGGCTTGAAGGATGAATTTGTCCTTCTGGGTCCTGGACAGATCTTCCTGCACCACCTCCAGCTCAGACTTGATGTTCTGGGAAAGGGAAGTCAGAGTCTTAAAAGATCTTAAACACACAACGGAGACGTCAGTTTGCGTGTCAGGTCATGGCGCTAAAGGGACCGAATACACAGCACTGATTTTTACAGGATTTCGTGTACGCTGTTCCCATCTCAGCGCTGGGTTGCGAAGGTGCAGTGACAACCACACCCTCGACATTCCCACCCAAATTCCAGAGTCTCTGCCAAGGAACCACCAACATCCCCACGGCTACATTTTACAGTAAACCCCAAGAATCTCCTGTTAGCTACTAGAAGAAGCCTAACCCTTCCTAAAACACACAGGTTGAGGATCCCTCACTCAGAACACTTTGAGTGTCAGGCTGGTGCTCAGAAAGTTCTGGATTTCAGATTCTCACATGAGGGACGCTCAACCTTTATCATGAATCAATCCTCCTGTGACTCAAGCCACCCGTTTACGACTATGTTCCTGATCCTTTCCTCACGCGGCCAAGAACTTTGTAGACTGAGCTCTTCGTAGAGGAGCTGGTCACCAACTGGCCAACTCTTCGCACGCAGCCTCTGTTTACCGGACTGACGGCACCGTGTGCCAAGCACGCTTCACTCAGCCGAGGAGTCCAGCCGGCTGGGGCTTCAGCCCTGCCCCTTCCAGCTGGGTGACCTGGACCAGGTGACAGTGTCTCCAGAACCGTGTGCTGAGAGCGCCATCCCGACGAACTCCCTGCCCGGCACGCAGCCCCGGCCACCCACGCCCCGTGAGCCCCGCGGCACAGGCACCTGCAGCATCTGCTGCCTTCCCTCCAGCTCCTTCCGACCCTGCTGCCCCGTCAAGTCCAGCTGCTGCTTCAACGACTGGATCTCTCGCTCCTTCTGATCCACCTCCCATCTGAGATTTTCCACCTAAGGGGAAAAAGTCACATGACCAAAAGAATTTTAAAGTGGCTTTCTTGCACTGGAAATTTGCTCTAATTGTATTTCTGCTTATCTTTTAATACCATATTAAGGAAAAAAATAAATATTCCTCTCCAAGCAGACAGGGAGTGCGGTAATCCAGTGTGCTGCTCAGCAGGGTCCAGCCCTGTGAACCACGTTAATTAGGAACATGAGGCCGCCGGGCACATCACCTCTTGGTTTCCCATGGGTTGTTTGCTCAGCTGCTCGTCCAGCTGCTTCTGCAGGAGCTGGAGCTGCGTCCGGGCCTCGGCCAGCTCCACTTGGAACTGTGCCACTTCCTGGGAACGTTTCCCCTCCTGACACCTAGCGTAAAAAACAAGTGAGAATGGAATTACTGCGTTCTTCCCACCTGCCCTCCCTCTGGAAACTGCTGCCTGTGAGCATGTCTGTCCGGGGGAGACCCTGCGCTGGGCCTGTTCCAAGTGCCTTAGGGTGCACCATCTCGCTCTGTTAAAACCATCCACAGACGACAGCGAGTGACTGCTGAAACCCTGCAGGGAGCGGTGGCCTCTAGAGCCACCAGGACCTCGTGCCTGGCTGGTGCCCCCGTGAGTCTGACGCGACCTTGCACCAGTGAGGAGTCCATAACGACCCTCTCACTGTCCAGGACGTGGCCCGGAGGTACGTGCTCAAGGCAGGGCGTCCTCTGGTTTGGGGGAGTGAGCACAGGGTAGCGAGAGAGTGAAGCTCAGCTTCTGGAGACAGAAGCCGGGGGTATTCGACCCTTTGATTTGCCTTTGAAATACTTGGCAGTCTGCTAGAATCTGCTAGAAAAGAGGTGACCCTGCCCACCACGCCTGAGGCTGGCCGGGCTCCCACTCGCCCCGCAGAGGCCCGCACTCACTGGAGGCTGTCGGCCTTGGCCTGCAGCTTCCGCACCAGGTGCTCCTTGGCCTGCAGCTCCTTCTTCACCTCACTCAGCTCCAAAGTGGCCGCCTTGAAGTGGCGGCGGCTATGACCAGCTTCTGCCCTGGCAGCAGCCACCTAGGAAGAAGGAAACCACGTGACCAACACACAGAGCGCCCTGTGTGACGCCTGCAGTTCTGTGATGGGCCAAGTGCGGAGGGGAAGGCCCTCCTGACCCCACCAGCGTCCCGCTGCAGGTGGACATCAAGTTCCTCGTGCAGACTGAAGCAGGGACTAAGGAGCGGTGAGCACACGCTGCATGCTGCTGGTAGCTGCTGCACGAACAAATCTGCTCCAGATTTCTCGGTCTCAGTAGTTTGTATGGTCAAGCGTATCTGCATGTTTCCAGTTAAATGTACCCGCAGCTCAAGCACTCTGAGAGGACGCTGCGTCTCTACCCCATCACCCAGCTGTGATAAGACTGTTGATTCTTACCATTCATGACGTAACAAACCTCCTTTCTAGAATTTTACTGCTTTTCACAGTTAACAATAGATTCTCTCAAGGCTTCCAAGAAGATAAACAAATTCTCAGGGTATCACAAAAAACAAAAGTTTCCGTTTTCCAATAATTGAGTTTTCTTGTCTAACTACACTAGCCAGTATTTTATTTAAAAAGCTTAAGGCCAGGCGCGGTGGCTCACACCCATAATCCCAACACTTTGGAAGGCCGAGGTGGGAGGATCACTTCAGCCCAGGAGTTCAAGATCAGCCTTAGCAATATGGCGACACTTAGCAATAAAAAAAATTAGCAAGGTGTGGCTCATGCCTTGGACCAGCCCAGGAGCTCTGCAACCCACCTTCGCCCACGACGGCAGTGACACCTCTGTCTCTGTACGTTTCTGGAAGGGAAGCTCAAGCGTGAAGGGCACCCTTTTGAGGTTTCAGGCACTGAAACACCTTCCAGAAGGCCCTGTGAGGCAGTGACTTTAACAAAAAGCAAAACAGCAGGAAGGTGGCACACACCTGCTCCGTGAGGCTGCTGACTTTCCCCTTCTCTTTCTCCAGCGAGGCTTGCAGCACCTGCACAAGCTGCTTCATCTGGCGATCCTCCTTTTCTTTGCGCTGCAAAACCGCCTGGACCTAGATGGCATCGCAGAAGGATAAATGAGGAGAGACCTCGAATTCTAAACCCCTGAAGAAACCAGGGCAGAGCGCGGGGCCACTGCAGCCGGTGCCGGGCGGGAGGTGCAGCAGGATGGGGGACAAGCCAGCTCACAGCAGAGGATGGCACAAGTCAGAGAAGAGGAAGTCCCCTCTCTAGAGAACACTGTTCCCTAAACATCTGTACCCCCATAATATGCTAAAATAAAAAAAAAAACAAAAAAAAAAACAAAACACTGTTCCCGGCCAGGCGCGGTGGCTCACGCCTGTAATCCTAGCTCTCTGGGAGACCGAGGCGGGAAGATTGTTTGAGCTCAGGAGTTCGAAGCCAGCCTGAGCAAGAGCAAGATCCCGTCTCTACTAAAAATTAGAAAGAAATTAATTGGACAACTAAAAATATATAGAAAAAATTAGCCGGGCATGGTGGTGCATGCCTGTAGTCCCAGCTACTCGGGAGGCTGAGGCGGGAGGATCACTTGAGCCCAGGAATTTGAGGTTGCTGTGAGCTAGGATGACGCCACGGCACTCTAGCCCGGGCAACACAGTGAAACCCTGTCTCAAAAAAAAAAAAAAAAGAACACCGTTCCCAAACCAGAAACCCACAGCCGCGGTGCAGGCACAGGGTCACATTCCCGAATCTGGCTGGGAACCGAGAGACGCGCGTGCATCAGGGGTCCAAACTCGGATGCCTCTGCGGTGAGGCAGCAATGCAGGGGGTGAGGCAGCCAGGTTCAGAAAGAACAGAGTGTGGGGAGCGGGGAAAACGTCTAAGGACGGGTTAATCCAAGGCTGGGGCTCCATCGGGCCTCGGGCTGCCGCTGTGGAGATTTCCCCCAGCAGAAAGGCTGCAGGAGCGGAGTGGGACCCTGACCGGGGTCTGAAATCAGTTTGAGGCCTTCAGGTAAATGTCCCCTACAGACGACGTCCCTGCCCGGAACAGGAAGTCATCCCACCTGCACCCAAAGCCAGGATGAACTCGGCACACTCGCTCCACCATGAACACACAGGCAGATGCTTTGGGTTTGTGCCTCACAGCTGGGGCTTCTGGTCCACCACACTCTGAGCCGTCGTCTCCTCCTCTCTAGGGTGGGGAGGCTGTGTTTTCCTCGAAGGTGGGCAGGAGGAACCGACACGGATGACAAGACATCTGGAGTGCTGCCCGGCCCACCCAGCGCTTTCTGCTTCGGGTGGTGAGTCTAGTGTGAGTACCTGAAGATTGAACTGGACCAGGTCTGCCTCCCTCTTGGCCAGAGCTCGCTCTAGGACGCTGTTGTGCTCCCGCAGAGCCGCGTTGGACTGTCCGAGGCCCATAAGCTTCCCCTTCTCGTGCTCCAGTTCGAGAGCCAACTTCTTGTTCGACTCCTCCAGGCACCTGATCTTCCTCCTGAAGCCTCTGGATTCCTGGAGCTGAAACAACGGAGCAGCCATGACCATGGAGTTGCCACAAACCCCAGGAATGCACAGCAGTGGCTGGTACTAGCGTGCAACCGTGAGCAACAAACCGCCCTCGCTTCGTGACCTGGGCTGTGTGGCCGCGGGCAGCGGCTTCCCTAGCGCCCGCCTGCCTCTCCATGGCCAGCAACCCTGCCTGCTCCTGGGCCCGTGTGCTTCTGGGGAAGGCTGTCCAGGGACCGAGCCCCGGCCCTGGTCAAGCCACTCAGCGGGGCGGGCATGGAGCTGAGGCCAGGACAGAGGTGAGTGAATGACACACGCAGCCCAGGGTGACAGAGCCCCTGGGGACTCTGCTGGAAGGGTGAGCCGGGGCTGGTGGCAGGGCTCTGGGCGACGGTGCTGAGCTGCTGTCAGAGCCCGAAGCAAGCCCTGTCTCTGAACCTGGGAGTTCTGAGAAGTTCTGTCAAGACTTGAGCTGGATTTCTCATTTGCAACCAAAGCATTCTGAGAGAAAGGTTCCACTATGAATTCCAGTGACCGCTCTGCTGCACAGGCTGTGACTACAACTGTTCTCACTGGAGGGCTGGGATCAGAGCCTGCTCCCCACAGAAGGTGACGGCAGTGCTGGGTACATAGCGAGGTGCTCTTGCTCTTCGGGGCCCATGCTCATGGTGGCCTGCCTGGGAGCCAGGGACCATCTGATCGCTACGGCGATGGCAGGAGTCGGGCCTCACCTCATCCTCCAGCTCCAGCACCTTCTCCCGGGACTCCTCCAGCTCCTGGCCAGTGGTTGCGATGACCTGCTGCAGCTCGCTCTCCAGCAGCTCCTTGCTGTGGCCGACAGCCTGCAGCTCCACCTCTAGGGCCCGGATCCTTTCCTGGCGGCGGGACAAACAGAGTGCATCTGGTCATCAGGACGGGGCCTCATCCCCCCGGCCTCCCACGGTGCCTACAGGTGCGAAGCTGCGGCCACACACACCTGGCGCGGCTGTGCCAGCACCAGGATGAACACGTTCTCACAGCACTGCACTTTCCTTAAAGGGCTCGGATTAACCAACACACCATGCACACGCTAGTGTCACACAAAGTAGTATCAGGACAAACACAATAATCCTTTCAGGTAAACACTTTGAAAATACAGAAAAAAACTGGACCTGTAGATAAAGGCTGTACGTTACCATTTAGGGCAAGTAAGCAGCATCTGGCACGGTATAATAATCACCACACATACACACGTGTGCATTCACACACGTGCACATGTACACACGTGCTCACCCCTGCACATGCACACGTGCTCACACTCCACCACTCATGCTCACACATATCCCCACACACATACACATAGGCACCACATGCAAGCACACACATGCTCACAACCCATGCACATGCTCACACACGGGCACATGCAAACATGCTCATACATGTAGTCACACAGTTGTACCACATGAACATACATGTGCTTGCACATGTGCGCTCACACACTTGCGGCCTCAGTGATGCCAGGCCCCATTCCAATCACTGTCCAGGTGCCCCTAACTCAACCACCTAATGAGGAGGTTCCACTATTTACCTCGTCTTGTCCTCGTCTTACTGAGGGTCACATCTGAGCCATCTGCCCCCATCTCACGAGTGGTGAGGCCCAGACGGAGCCCAGACTCGAGCCCCGGCCTTGCTGTCCCTCAGCTGCTGCCCAACCTCCCACCATTGATCAAGGGCCAAACAACACTGAGACACATTCTCAAGTAGAAAGGAAAGTGCCAACTGGCTAATCCCTCAGTGTTTTTTGTAAAGGAACCAGGTGAGAGGAAGACCCCAAGTTATGATACAGTCGCTTCCTGCTAAATTTGTAGCTAGACAGAAAACGGAAATAAACTGCACATAAGAAACACCGTGGGCCAGGCCCGGTAGCTCATGCCTGTGATCCCAGCACTCTGGGAGGCCAAGGTAGGAGGATCACTTGAGCCCAGGAGTTGGAGGCTGCAGTGAGCTGTGATGATGTCACTGCACTCCAGCCCAGGGCAAGAGAGCAAGACCCTGTCTCAAACAACAAAAAAAACCCACTGAAATGTCAGTGTAACGACACGATAAATAAAATCCAAGCAAATACACTCAGGTAGAATTTTACACCTACTAGTAAAAGTGAAATAAAACGGAGACCGCACCGTCCAGGGCCAGCCCCTCTCATAGGCTGCACAGGGCCCTCTGCCAAAGGCACCTCTCCCCGTCCTGGGCCACTGCAGGTGCTGCGGCTCCCACAGCGTCCTGGACTCTGCCAGCACCAACCCACGCCCCGCACCCCACTCCAGCTCCAGTGGGCGCCTGCTTGCTGCTCTCCCTCTGGGCACGTCAACACCTGAGATGTGAGGTGCAGAGAAAGCCAGAGGGCGGGTGGCCCAAGCGTGCGTCTGTCTCTGCCTCTCAGCGAGTGGCGAATTTCTCTAAGCCAAGGAGGTCCCTCAATGAAAATAAGGCGACCTCCCCAGACTACACAGGGTTCATGAGGGCTCCATGAGATAATACGCACAATCCTTACAGGTCCCTGGCACACCTCGACACTGAGCAGTATTTTAAAGAAATGCTACCTTTTGTCTAAACTCTCGTACAGGTTTTAGAGGGGAAAATGTTTACAGAAGTTCCTTTCCCTACAGAGAAGCTTCACGACTCTGGCAAGGGACAGCGTGGTGTTTACCTACATGTAGAGCGAGGTCGCCGTCGCCACTGGTGCTGCTCTGGGCTCTGAGCTGGTTCAGCTCTGCGTCTGCAGCCTCCTTGGCAGCGAGGGCCTCCTGCAGGCGGCGGCTGAGGATGCTCACAGCGTTCTCGTAGGCCTTGTGCTTGGTCTTCATCTCCTTCTCAGCGCTGGTCAGGTCCGAGCCCAGTCGCTTCATCTTCTGCTGCTGCTCTGTGATGGCCCTGGGGTGTCCCCAAGGACGGCGGGAAGCTCGGTTACCCTCTGATGCTGCTGGCCAGCATCCTGGCACGCGACACCCAGTGACAGGGACGTGTTTCAGAAGCGCGTCCCCAGGGTCGGCACAGGGCTCAGACCCAGGCTCTGGGGGGCCGCTTCAGCTCCACCCTCCCCAGAACCCACCTGCCCCTCGGAGGAGGTGCATCAGGTGAGTGTGTGCCTGCCCTGCCGCGGCCGCGTGAGGGAGAGGGACAGACCACGCGGGCGTCCCTGCAGAGCCAGGTAATGGCAACCACTCATGAGTTTTAGCCACTTCCGCCACCCCCATCAGACCTGCTCTCCTCTTGGGGCAATTTTAAAATGATCTTGTGAAGGCAGAGAAACAGTCTGCTCCTCCAAACAGTAAGGTTTCCAATGTTCTTGAATATCAGCATGAAATCCAACAGTCAGATCCATGAGTAAATCACCAGCCAATCAAAGTGAAGCAACAGAGATGTGCCATCAGGGTAAAAAGGCCCCCAAAGGCTGTCTGCACATGTATGTGCCTGCACATACGTGTACACAGGTATATGCAGTATGTATACCTGCACATGCATGTACCCAGGTGTACGTATGTGTGCCTGCACATACGTGTACACAGGTGTATGTGGTATGTATACCTGCACATACGTGTACGCAAGTGTGCGCAGTACGTGTGCCTGCACATACGTGTACGCGGGTGTATGCAGTATGTGTGCCTGCACATACGTGTACGCAGGTGTGTGTGTGTGCCTGCACATACGTGTGTGTGGTATGTGTGCCTGCACACACATGTACGCAGGTGTACACGGTATGTGTACCTGCACATGCATGTACGCAGTATGTGTGCCTGCGCATACGTGTACGCAGGTGTGCGTGGTATGTGTACCTGCACATACGTGTACGCAGGTGTATGTGGTATGTGTACCTACACATAGGTGTATGCAGTATGTGTACCTGCACATACACGTAGGCAGGTGTGTGCGGGTTAGGTCTGTGGGTCCACGTTTGCATGAATGTAAAGGGTATGAGGATGAATATCAAAGTGTCGTCCCTGCTGAGGGGGTGGGTGTAGGGGGGGGTTGCCACAAGCGTGTGGCACAAGAAGTCAAATGAATAAAAACAGAAGGGAGCATTTGTTACAGGTCCTTCAGCGAATCAACGATCTGGGATTATTTTACAGAATGAGCAACTGCCAAATCACAATGGAACTTCACATTTTTTTTTTATAATTAAGAGACCGGGTCTCACTGTCACCCAGGCTGGAGGGCAGTGGTGCAATAACAGCTCACTGCAGTCTCCAACTCCTGGGCTCAAGCGATCCTCCTGCCTCAGCCTCCCAAGGAGCTGGGACTACAGGCACACGCCACCATGCCCAGCTGGAACTTTAAATTTACAACTTAACATTCCAGGCCACCTTTACATGGGCCCCCAAGTTGCTTCTCAGAGAGGGTGTCCAGGCCTGCCCGTGTCCTCACGGTGGGGGCTCACGCCACCATCCCAGGCAGGTGCAGACTTACTTCCTGGCTTCTTGCTGCAGCTCTTCCATTTGTTTCTTGAGCGCCTCGTTGGCCTCCGTAAGGGTGACCACCTGCCCCTTGTCAAACTGCAAAGACTTCAGGAGAAAAGACAGCATGAGAAACGCAGGTAAGAGGCACAGAGCCACCCCGCCCCCACCTGACCCCTCAGGGTCCCTGGTGCCGTTGAGGGCCGCCCTTGAGGACTCAGGCCTTGAAGAAAACCCTGACAGGGACATTTGTCTCTTCAGAGTCAACATTCCACAGAGGTCAAGTCTTTCCAGGCCGGGCGCGGTGGCTCACGCCTGTAATCCCAGCACTCTGGGGGGCCAAGGTGGGAGGATCGCTTAACCTCAGGAGTTTGAGACCAGCCTGAGTGAGAGCAAGACCCTGTCTCTACCGAAAATGGAAAAATTAGCCAGGTGTGGTGGTGCTCGCCTGTAGTCCCAGCTACTCAGGAGGCTGAGGCAGGAGGATCGCTTGAGCCCAGGAGCTGGAGGTTGCAGTGAGCTGTGATGACGCCACTACACTCTAACCTGGGGCAACAGAGCGAGACTCTCTCAAAAAAAAAAAAAAGCGTTTCCAGATGCTGTGTGCAGAGCACTGAGGCACAACAGGGAGGCAGTGGGTGACAGCAAAGCCTCCGCCCTGTGGGCCGCCTGGAGCCCTAGGACCCCCCAACCTTGCTGCCTCTGCTCACCTCCTGTGTGGCAGAGTCCCCCAGAACCAACTCAGCCACAGCAACGAGCAACTGCAGGAGGCAAGGTGTGAATGTGCTCGGCCCGCACCAGGGCCCACCTCGCCTCCCCGGGGCTCCGCCAGCTCTGCACTCTCTGGTACTGACGGCGTCCGCCCCCCACCCTCCCGCCACTTAGCACTGTCCACTTGCAGGCCTCAGCTGGGCTCGTCCCAGGGCGGGACGCCTCAGCCAGCCGGCCCAGGTGGCCCTCGGCCTGGTCCTCTCGTGCGCTTGGTCTCACACCCTGCCCACCCCTTCCCTGAATCCACTGCTCTTCCCCGACGTCTCATCTCAGGATGAGCCACCTAGGCATCCTGGACATCCGGACACAGACCTGGACTGCAGCCTCCACCCCCACCCCACACCTTGCACCTCCCTGCTGCCTGCCGAGGCAGGGCAGACCCCTGCCAGCTTCCACACACCCCGAGGAAAGCCCAGGCTCGCACCAGTGCGGCACCTGTCATCCCAGCTCCACGCTGCAGCCACAGGGGACTCAGCCGCTCAGACCGCTGCACCCTGACGAGGGCTCTGCAGACGCTCCCATGGCAGGAGGGGGGCCCCTGGCACCGGCACAGCCCCTCTCATTTGCCCCCCCTCCCCACATCACCGCCTGGACTTGCCTGTCTGCCCTACCGGGACGCAGGCTCTGGGAGGGCCTTGTTCTCGGACGTTTTTCCGAAAGCCTCTCCCCGAAGTGCCCCCACCCCATCTACACACACGTCACAACACGAACGGATCCAACCGAGCACGTTCGGCAGACCTGCAACTGCGTCTCCATCTCGTCCCGCTCCTTCTGCACGGACTGGAGATGCCCTTCAAGATCCGCCATCTGCCGGTGGACCTCGGACACCTCCTTCTGCAGGCGCGAGTGCTCCATCTCCGTGGCCCTCTTCTCCCCGTGCAGCTTCATCAGCTCCTGCCTCAGCCCCTTCACCTCTGCGTCCAGCCCCTTCTTTGCGGCTTTCAGCTCGCTGACCAGCCGGTCCCGGGAGGTGGCATCCCGCCGGTAGGCCTCGACCATCACCTGCCACGAGACAGAGCCCCAGGCACTCAGAGGGCGTCTTCCCAGGGCCAGGCTGCTGCAACCAAAGTGTTTACCCTGTATCTGGGGTGTAATTTCTTTGACCTAAAGATAACAAACTTCGCCACCACCTCAGACACACCCCTGTTTTATCCACCCAGTGATGTCACTGTGCCCGCACGCAGTCTGCATGAGGCTGGAAGCAGGCCCACCGGCCTCCTGCACATCTGTGCTGAGCAGTCTGGCGGTTCCTTCTCCCTTCAGCCACACTGCTTGGCTTCTGACAGGTCATCCCCTCGCTCGTATCCCAGTGATAAAACAGAACACTGCTTACAACCCTGCTTTGGGGTTTCCCTCTCTCAGATCCTGTAAGGCTCTCGACTGCTGCTTTGCAAGAAAGCATGGATCAGAATCATTCCTCCAGCAAGACGTACGAGCCTCCCTGACAAGATTTACATTCCATGCCTTTCTGGCGACACCAGGATTTGTTTCAATCCCGGAACGTGGTGTAAATTTTTCAGAGACATTTTAAATGGCGAACACAACCTGTGTAGTAACAACAGTGCAAAACATACACGATTCTCTGAAGGGACAGCAACCAGGTGTCCTGACAGGCGTGGCGGTGACAGCTGCCACTCCCGATCTGTGGGACCAGACTCCCACCCTGCGTGGAAGTGCGGCCTGACTTTGGAGACTGAAATGGGGGCAGGGAGGGTATCTTAGAATCGGCGAAGTGCCTCTGGGAAAATTAAGGGGTCTGGTGCTGCCCCCTCAATCAGGTCTGTTCTACTGAAGCAATTAAACCACCCAGGACTTGGTTCACACACTTTTTTTACACGAAGAAACCAACGACACACTTTTACCTTCTGCTGAACAAACTGTTCCTTTGCTTTCTGCGTCTGCTTTTTCAGAGTGGCGGTCTCCTGCTGCAGGTGCTCCACCTGCGGGGACACGAGCGCACAGACATCACACAAGGGCTCCAGGAGGGGGCACGTTCGCAACCTAAGAGAGCTGGGTTCCCTCTCACCACGGAAAGCAGGAGGGAGGGGAAGGAAGTGGGGCACGGCCGAGACAGGGGACACTCAGCGCAGGAGGCGCAGGCCTTTCCTGGAACCACCAGACAGGAGACACCTTCGATTCACAGGCTGCAGTGCTGCAGCTCCCCCTCTGCTCTCAAAGCACAAAAGCAGCCACAGACATTAAGTAAATAAACATGATTTACTGCGTTCCAATAAAAATTTACAAAGCTCGGTGGTGAGCTGGGTCCCCAGGCTGAGTTTGCCAACCCCAGGCTTGGGTCCTGGTAGAGGCCAGGCTGTTTGCGCTCCCTGGGGGCTGTACGGAATGCAGAGCCCCAGGCCCTACCCAGACCTACTGAGTCTGAATCCAATGTGGAAACCCCAGAGGATCCAAGAACATGTGACGTTTGTGAAATGCTACTCTGTCTCAGCAAAAAACGCTTAAGAAGCCGGGTGGAGCTGGGCATGGTGGTGCCTGTAGTCCCAGCTACTCGGGAGGCTGAGGCGGGAGGACGGCTTGAGCCCAGGAGTTGGAGGCTGCAGTGAGCTGTGAATGCACCACTGCGCTCCAGCCTGGGCAACAAAGCGAGGCCCTGTCTCAAATTAAGAAAAACAAAGCAACCAGGTGATGAACACAGCAAGGCCCTGGGTGTGGCAAGCACTGGTCCACATCGTGTGACGGAGATGCCACCACGGGCCACGTCGCATGAGGAGGCCCTGTGAGATCACGTTTACATGCAGCTTTCAGTGAGCACGTTCGGAGCCACAGTCTCTGGAAACGGGCAAGAGCTTGTTCGTGGCCAAGGTTTTCCTCCCCTACGACAGGAACGTACTCCACGCAAATCCTAGTTATCACTTGGGCATGATCAGGAAATGAGCCATTTTGCCCTGCACTCTGGAGAGTGGCTCCTTCAGGAGCCCTCTGAGAAGCATCAAAACACTGCTCTGCTTTGCACGTGTCATTTGTCCCCTCCCACAGGTCCCCATCACCTGCCCCTGGTCCCACAACAGCTCCAGGTGGGGGCGAAGGCTTGGAACCAGGCAAAGGGGGCCCCATGGGGACAGTGCCGTTTCCAGACGCCTTGCACATCCCAGCGAGCGAGGCTGGTGGAGCGGCCAGCACCTAGGCAGGCTGCGGACGGGGCCAGTCTGTTTCCCAGTTAGGCTGACTCTGGCTCCCAAGCCAAGAAAACAGCCTCCAGAGGCAGAAAGGCAGCTTCCTGGCGAGATGACAACACCACCACCGCCTCCATCTGTTTTGGGGCAAACAATCTCGATCCAGGGTGAATTTGGATTAAGTAACTGCCAGTGCCTTTGTTAGTAACAATGCAGGTGGACTTCCAATATGATAAATAATGTCTGGTACCAGCAAAAGCCTCTTTCAGATGTCAGCTGATGTTCCTTTTACTGAGCAAACAGTGACATAAAATTCAAATGCAGCAACAGCATTTTGACAGCTGCTCTAAACTAACTTGCCAACACTAGAGCTATGACTCGGCTTAGTGCAGGGAGCCCAAAGCGTCACTTAGTGCCGTCGGGACAGGCAGCCTCCTCCTGTCTTACTTCCTCACAGGGAAGACAGATGAGTGAGTTCCTCTCGCCCTTGGCCCTAACAGAGTGGGATTCACTTACTTTTGAAGTTATTTTTAGGTTTATAGACTTAGGGGCACAGTGCAGTTCTGTCACGTGGACATAAGGCGTGGTGGTGAGGTCTGGGCTCTCAGCGTGTCCGTTTGCCCCAGACCCTCCACCCCGTGGAGCCCCCGTGTCCGTCACCCCACTCTCGAGACCTTGTGTACACGTGATTCAGCCCCCACTGGGAGAACACACAGCGTCTGACTTTCTTTCTAGGCTGTTTCACTTTGGAGTGGACTCAAAGACAGGACCGTTCCCCAACACGAATTCCACCTCCTCCACATGCTCTGGTTCTTCTACTCTGTCTACGTGTTTAAGCATGTTTGCCTACATCAAGGCCACGTCACGCTGTCAGCATGTCAGCTCTTCCCCAGCATGACGTGCCTGCAGGTGACGCCCACACGCTCCAGGACCCTGCAGTGTGCTGTCCAGGGCCGGGCCTTGCCGGCTCCGCCCACCCCGCGCACCACCTCACACCACAGCTGCCCTGCCCAGGAGCCCAGTGGGGCCACACGCGGGCAGGCACAGGGAAGGGACAGCCAAGTTTCCTGCAGCTCTCCTGACTCTTAGCTCCACGTCATCAGTGCACAGAAAATGGTGTTTCCTGGTAGGCTACTCAAAAGCTCCACATAAAACTCAGTTTCCCAGGTCTGGACTTCTCCACTCCCAGCAGCTAGAGCAGGGCCACAGGCACAGACGCTGGTGTAATCCCGTCCCCAGCAGAGCTCGGAGCCCCTGCCTAGTGGTCACCCACATCACAAAACAGCACGTCCACAGAAAGGACCACACGTGCAGCACGCGCTCTTGTGCACGTGATCTCGATTCATGACAGAATCATGGCAGACGCATTACCTGGCGGGACTTGATGGCCAGTTCTTCTCTTAACTGCTCTAGAATTCCAGACGTTTCCTCGGTACCTTCTTCCAGGTGTTTTGCTCCTCTGTCAAATTCCTCCTTGCTACTCTTGGCCGCTTGCAGAGCCACCTCCAAGACAATCTTCTCGTTCTGCAGGAAACGGATCGCGTCCTCTCTGGAAGCCGCCTCCCCCTGCAGCTCCCCCAGCCTGGCCTGCAGCTCATCGTAGCGTGTCTGCAGGTCGCCGAGGGACTGCTCCCTGGCCTGCAGCGTCTCCTGCGTCGAGGTGAGCTGCTTCATCAGGTCCAGGTGCTCCTGCTGCAAAGCCTCCAGCTGTTGGTCTCGCTGGTGCAAAGCCAACTTAACCTGAGAAAAAGACAGTGCGTTCAATACGGCCACTCTCCATCCTACTCCAAGAATCTGTACTTTTTCCCTGTTCGGGTTTTAGATAACTCTGATGGATACTTTGGAGGGACTTTTTAATGCAAAATCCTGATGTGGAAGGATATCAACAGACGCAAACACATGGCCAGGTCTACAGTAGCAGCAGAGTCTGATCACGTGACCCCTCACGCGGGCCTGACAGATAGCCCACACGTGCCTGCACGGATGCGGCCTGGCACGAGTTGGACCACGTGGCTACCTGTGCTACCTGTGCGCGTCCCTGCGGCGTCAGCGCTGATGAGGCAGCAGGTACTCGCCTGCTCTAGCTGCTGCTCCAGGGATGCCGCTGAGGCTGCCACCCTCTGCAGCCGCTGCCTCTCGTCTTCGAACTCTTCCAGCCGCCTCTGGAGGTCCTCCTCCACCATCGTCTTCGCCTCCTGGATCTGCACAAAGGCCGCCTCCTGATCCAGCATGTCAGCCTGGGCCCAGGAAACAAAGGGTTTTCAAAAACGCAGGCAAATCTGGCTCCCAACAGCAGACTGCAAACCTCCTGCTTCACAGGGAAACCTGCCGCCCTGGCAAGGGGCCTCCTGTTCCCGCCACCATTGTCGGCAGCTTGAGGGGCCAGGGTGGACTCTGTGACCAGGCCTCTTGCGGCTCCTCTCCGGGCCAGCCTAGCCCTGTCCTCCTCGCTGTTGACCCACAGGCCTGGCCCAGGAGAGAGGCAGGTGAACCACCCAGTCTTAAGAACTGGGATCAGCTAGGGGAAGGAAGCCTCCCTGGTCGTTTCTCCCATGAAGACAGGTGGGAGGCAGGTCCCTTCTTCTGGAGTGAGACATGGAACATTCTCTTTCATAAGAGTCTCACCTGATACCACCTGGTAAACAGAACACGACACCAGGGGACCACAGGGCAAATACAGCATTCCTTACGTTTTGACTATGTGGGTAAGACCTACCGTCCAGGAACACGTTTTGGGGAAAAAAAACATCAGTTTTTTAGTTTATAATCTAAAACTAATAGCTTAAAACTTTTCAACTCTTTTCCACTGAGCCCTTGAAGCATTACAGCCGACAGGACATGACTGTCATCCATCATCCCCATCAAAGAGCCCCGGAATCTTCCCCGGGGAGGAGGCCCGACAGACGAGAAGCCCAGCGACCGAGGGAAGCTGACCCTCCGCGTGCCCAAGAGCAGCAAAGACAGCCAGGCACGAAACACCATCTCGTGCCTGCCTAGAGGTTTTACACCGTCTTTTCTTCTTACTTTTTCCAACAAGACTATTAAGTAGGTATTATTATCCCCACTTTATAAAGGAAACAAGGCTCAGAGAGGTTAAGAAATCGCCCGGAGTCTCACAGCTAAAAAGAGAACAGCTATCTGGAGCCAGCCAGAGCTATGTGTTTCCCATCCTCTGGAGAGGCTCTCAGCGGGCAGCTAGAGAACCACAGCAACTCCACGTGGTGGCTGGAGGACTAAACAGCAAGGCAGGCTGAGAAAACACTTAGCACCACTGGGCTCTGAGACACTGTCGGTCGCACAGACGTGCTAAGCCCTTTCCTCCCCACCCGCCTGGCACCCAGCACTGTCCCCCGCTGGCAACGACCAGGCAGCCAGGCCCAGGGCAGGGCTTAGAGGAGAAGAGCTCCAAAGTGTGACCCGCTCACAGGTAAGAGATAAGGGATGGATCCCCCAAATCTTACACAGCTATCACTGCAAGCTGTTGGAAAGTATTAAAGTGTGTGTGCGTGTGTGTGTGTGTATGTGTACAAGAAGAAACATACTGTATCTATGTTTATGTGTATGTATGTTCTGAATCTCACCAGCATGACCCAAAACCCAGTAAAAATCGGCCACTGGGCCTCACCTCGATGCTCTGGAGCTGGACGGCTATACGCTCCTTCTCCTTGATGGATCTGTGCTGTGTTTCTGTCAGCTGGTGGGACAGGGACACATTCTCAAGTTTCAGGTGCTCCAGGAGGCCTGCCTGGGTCATCTGTCCAACCTTCAAAGAAAAAATGCACGAGGTACAACGTCGCTCAACTTCAAGCAAGAAATGTAACCAGGCTGTCCCCAGAGACCCCAGGGTGAGGGTCCCTGGCTGCCCCTCTCAACTCTGCCACGCAAGCCCCTGCCTACCACGTGTCGTCCCACCTCAAAATGCAGGCTGTCTGGGCTCTGTGTGCGGCCCAGCAATCACTGGTCACCACACCAACACTGTGCAGTGTGCGGCTGGACCCACACAAAAGTTCCCACCAACTGCTGGGCGCAGTGGCACATGCCCACAGTTCCAGCCACTCAGGAGGCTGAGGCAAGAGGATCACCTGAGCCCAGGAGTTTGAGGCTAGCCTGGGCAGCATGGCAAGACCCCGTCTCTAAAAATAGGTTCCTCTCGAAGGGACATCTCCGAGCCCCCACAGGTGAGGAGCCTTATCTCAACTGACCAAACCCTGCAGATGCACCTCCCTCCCTCAGTCTGACGCCCAACATGCACCACTCCTGGGAGTGGCATTCGCAGCCCAGCCCAGTGCATGACCAGGGCCCCACAGAGGGTTCAGGGCCTACTTCAACCAACCGTCTCCTCCAGAAAAAGGAGCCCAGAGCTACGGCCCCCGGGGGAGGAACACGTCACCCCAGGGGGCTGAGACCTGAAAAGGAAGTGCAAGGGCTGCCCAGGGTCTGCACGTGACCTGCTCCCGCACCAGAGCCGGCCCCAGCGAAGTTCTCAGACCTCACAGCGCCAACAAGGGGCAGAAGTTGTGGGCTTCAGGACCTAACGGAAGCTGCACAGAGCCAAGAAGACAGCACTGGCTGGGGCTGCTTCAAGACAGTGAGACAAGAGAGACGTTCCCTTCTCAATGTTACTGGGAACAGAGAGGGAACTCTGGGTATGGAAGATGCACTGGAAACCCTAACTGAGGAACGCTGAGCCTGGGTTCCAAAGGCATTTGGCAAAAGCAGCCAAGGCCCTCAGACCAACACTCGCTTAGTATCTCCCCCGATTTCTGACATCCAAACTGCATTTCTGACTTCTGTCAGGATGTTTACATACCTGACTTACTTCTTTAAACATGTTATGTCTGTAGCTTAAAAAGTGAATTAAGTTGTACAAAGATTTATTTCCAAGTACAATGTAAGCAGAAAAAATCCTTTTCGCTGTGGTCCTTTGGCTTAAAAAATATGTACTATAAATTGCAGAAAACTTCTGTTTTGTATATTTGTAAACTCTAGATAAAAAAACGAAATTTTGGTGGAATTAGGATTTTACACCCTCTACTTGAGAAATAAAGTTTTAATAAATCTACAATATTTTATCTGGAAACAGATCCCATGGCTAAGTAGCAGCAGCAGACAGCGGCGGACCGAGCGCTCCTCAGCACCCTTAGTCCCCCTCACCGGCCTGGGCACAGGGACTCGGAGCACAGGCCACTCGCCTGTCCCGCCCGGGCGTCCCAGCCGCTGACACTCGGCTGCCGTGGGCCGAGGGGCAGGCCCAGCAGTGACTTCTCCCGGGACGGGACAGACGACGCACCCACACAGGCAGCGTCGAGGTGGACGCGGAGCCTCCACTCAGAAAGCGGACAGCAAAGAGAGGAAACGCTCCCTGCAGGACAGTCCCTGCGAGAAACGTGGTCATCGACACCACTGGGAGCCCAAGCAGCCAGAGGAAGGTGACACGGCAACCAGGAGGAGACACCTGCCGTGCCCAAGCCGGAGACTTCGCGGTGGGGCAGGGTCCAGAGTGGAGAAGCCGGCAGGAGAGTCGAGATCCGCAGTAGCGCGGGTTTGGGGGCTGAGTTCACACTGGGAGAGAGTCGCCCTTCAGAGGAGGGATGAGACTAGTGAGAGCCAGGAACGTGGGACGTGCCAGAGAGGGAGGTTTTAGAACTAACAGTGCCCGAGTAGAAGCTGTGAGACTCTCGTGTCAGAAGGTCATGGAGGGAGGCTCCTGCCCAGGATGCGGCGTGGGCGGCATTAGTGGTCAGCAGAGTAAAAAAAATGTATCTGGGAAATCTAAAAACAGAAAAATCCTTTTTTAAATATTATTTATCATTTTTCAGCGATGAGGTCTCCCTCTGCTGCGCAGGCTGGAGTGCAGTGGCTATTCACAGGCACAATCACAGTGCACTACAGCCTCTGACTCCTGGCTCTCTCGTCTCAGCCTCCCGAGTAGCTGGGAGTACAGGCGCACGCCACCACGTCCGGCTAATTTTTTCTAGTTTTAGTAGAGACAGAGTCTCACTCTTGTTCAGGTTAGTCTCCAACTCCTGCGCTCAAGCAATCCTTCTGCCTCGGCCTCCCAGAGTGCTGGGATCACAGGCCTGGGCCACCGCACCCAGTGAAAAATCTTTTTAATTTAGGGAACAGTTACACTTCCACATAAAGACAGGAAGCATGACCCACCAGGCCATGTGCCCATGTCTGCCCTGGAAGGGAGTCTGGGGAGGTACCTGGATGTGGGCCATCTCATCCTGCAGCCTGACACGGGCCTCCTGCGCCAGGGCAAGCTGCTGCTGGTACCATTGCCGGACGTTCTGCAGGGACGAGATTTCCGCCTGTGACGCCTTCAGCTTGCTGGTCAGCGTTGTGCGTTCCAGCTGCACCTGCTGCAGCTGGCTCTGCAGGGCTGTCATCTGCTGTCGAAGGTCGTGCACTGTAAGTGAGCAAGAACACGCAGCTCAGACTGATGGCCACAAGTGGAAGAGCCCACAGCTCTGCGCAGACACCTTACACAAAGGGATTTCTCTGCAGAGGGCAAGAAACACAGTCGATTCTGGTTATTCTCAGTAATTACATTTTACCAAGTCGTGTGAACACCGCGTCAGCAGACACTGAACCGTTGCTCCCGGGGAACATAAGGTTAGGTCCACCAAGCCTCTGCGCACACCATTTTCATCAACTGACCAACACGGAACCTTTGTTTACGTGCGTTTCTGTTCTAAGACAACGTATGTGACACGTAACATTGGTTTGTTCACGCTGGACTCACAGCCAACAGGAACGCGAAGCCTCTCTAGGAAACGTGTCTTCTCCATAAAACACATCGTAGCCTCCTTGCGCTTAACAACGCCAGCCAGTGTTGGAGACGTTTTAAATAGCAAAATCACCCAAAAATGCACAAAAATACAAATAGACCAGGAAAAGGACACGGCTTCACAGTCTGAGCTGAAGCAAGCAGGCACCTCAGCTACAAACGAGCACTTCAGGCAACTTAAGAGTTTGCCTCTCTGCTCATGTCCGCGAACGACTACCAAAGCTCTGTGAGTTATGATTTGGGGGTGCAAATAAATCTAAGTGGCAGATTCACGGTTGTGGAATCTGTGAAACTGAAAATCAACTGTGGGTCCACAAATTCTGGGGCACGCTGAGGCTCTCGTCTTTGAATGGTCTGCTGATGTCCACCAGCCATCAACAGACAGCAACGGTGTTCCTGTGGCGGCTCCTGCTGGGCCGTGGGCCGGGACTGAGCAGCCCTGCCTGAGTTTAGGTCGGTTCTGCTGCCCAGTGCGCACTGCTCAGATGAAGCCTCGCACCCCTCAGAGTCACGAAACTCTTCTGGTGCTCAAAATGCTTTGGATTTTATAGTTTTTCCTAGGGGACTGGGTATCATAAAGCACTCAAAGACTGAAAAATTAATAGCAATTTAAAAAGTCTACTTTTTGTTCCTTGGCTGGCTCTCCTAGCATGAGAAGAAAGCCTCTGTGACAATGTGGCTTGTCACTTTCTTCTGTGCCATCAGATCTGAGACTTTGCCTCACACTGCCTCGGCCCTCACGCCGGCTGCACCAAGGCCCTCCTGTTGCTCAGGTGGCCCTGCGCCCCCCAAGAAGAGCCTCATCCGAGCAGCCTTCGAGGGGTCACTCTACGCCCCTTGGGCTCTGGTCTTCAGTCTTCCCACCACACCTGGCCCTCTCCTTCCCACTCCTGTTCACGCCGCCACGTGCTGAGCAGGCAGACCAGAATCTTCTCGGTGCCCGATGGGGTAAGAGCATCGACTCTGAGACTGGCTCTGGGGGGCGACTGAGGGCGGAGCGCCCAGGGGCGGGCAGGTAGCATGAAGAACGCGAAAGACACGCTGCTGAGCCACAGGGGCCGCCATGGCTCCCCGCGACTCCACGACTCTGCTCCTGCGACTCCCCAGGTCAGGCCTATAGGGAGGTGGCTGGACCAGAACGCTGAACGCCGTGTGAAGAGCCCTAGCAACCAAGAACCCAAGTGTTCCTTTTAAATATTCTAAGTAGAATCTGCAATTCTGTGGAATGGGCAGGCAGCTCTACACCCCAGATAACACTGGACTTTCAAGGCAGAATGGGTGGAAGCAATGACCACCACAGTCAAGGGTGCAAAGTCACTTTCTAAGATCTAACTCATTTCCCTGGATACTCACGCAAAAACGTGCAGAATTCCATGAGGTCAACCAAAAAGTGTATTTCCCTTAGAAAAGCAGACGTCTTATGTGTGAATTATACACCATGAACCCGCACAGCCACACTGAGGTGGGGGCAGATCGGCCCCACCGCCCCTCCTTGCTGGGCGGCTGTGCCAGGGCAGGGCGGAGCCAGGCAGCGGCAGCCCTCACCTGTGTCGTCCCTGCTGAGGATGCCGCTTTGCATGTCTTCTACTTTTGCCACGAGCCTCTGGTACTGCTCCTCTGCTACCTTCAGGTCGTTGTTGGAGGATGCCAGGCTGGCATTTTTGGCTTCCAGCATGTTCTGCAGGTCAGTCATGGCTTGCTCCAGATCCCAGCAGGACTGCTTCAAGGTGTCCACCTCCAAGCTGAGGGAGTCCTGCCGCTGCTGGCTGCTGCGGCTGTGCTCCGCCTGCACCTGCAGCCTGGTGGTCAGGGCGGCCAGCTGGGCCTGCAGCTCAGCCTTTTCTTTAAGTGCCTGAAAAGATCCCCAAACCACCAATGAGGACGATGAGTCACCTTTGTCTAGTATGTCAACAGGACCGCCGACACACAACCAGCGAGACAGAGAAAGGCGTCTGACAGGCAGACTTTCCATGACATTCCCGCACCACACAGCCGCTCTCCCAACACCGTCAGCCCCCAAAGGCGGCGACGTTCCAGACACGCCCAAGAGGCAGGAGGGGACGATGCAGAGTCTGCGCCCAGCTGCGCCCAAGCAGGGCAGCATCGGGCAGAGCTGTGAAGGCACCCATTCACCTGCAAGGATGTGGGAAAACACACTTTTTCAAAAATTGAAAAAGCTCACAAGGGTGCACACTCGCATGCACAAAGTAAGAATACCAGACATGCTGAGGGACCCCCAAGATAAAAAGCAGTCAGATTAAGATTGGAGTGGCAGGTATGGAGAGAAAACATCTCCAGGAAAAAGCTGCTGTTACATCAGAGAGGTTCTGAGGGCTCCAGCCAGGGCCACTGGATGCAGGAGCAGTCCTGAGTGACCACAGTAGGGCCGTCCACAGGGTGAAGCAGGGAGGGAGAGGAAAGGCCCCAGGAGCACAAAGACCACCACAAGAAGTGAGCAAGGGCACACGCTCCCCGCCCGTCAGCAAGCCAGCACTGCGAGCTCAGCGGGAGATGCACGTGGGAATCCAGAATCCACACGTCATCCTCAAAACAGACAGCAGACCCAACACACAGAAGAACAAACACCCAGTTAACATCGAGCTAACTGAGCAAACTTGGTGAGATCTTAGAGTAAGTAGGACTGGCACCTGCACAGAGATGCCAGGAAGTGCTGCACCCACAACAATCCACACAGATCTTAGTTTGGACACAGCAAAGCACACGTCGGTGATCCCAGGAGGATAAGAAGATGAAGTAAAAGCTCTAAGACTGTCCAAGGGACTGCGTGGAATATAGATGAAGTGGAAATGCATTTGATGAGAGAGCTACGTTCTAAGGTAGTGTCTGAAGTAAAAACTGTATACAACCAAAATTAATCTTCACATCTCTGAAATTTTAGGAGACGCAGTTTTATGCATCACACCCTGGTCAGACTGTGTCCAAGGACCGTGTTGTATACAGAGCCGTCACAAGCACGAGATGTAGACCTGGCAAAGCCAGCTCGTCTCACCACAAGCTGCTCCTCTCCCTCCACTGCCCTGCCGCGTGCACCCTCCGCAAGGCCACCCTCCCCTCTGTGGCGCTCTGGGCCCGCGTGTGCATTCATTCTCACGCTCTCTCATGCCAAGAGCAGACAGCTGATTCCACTGAACTGATCTACTTTAATCGCTGACAGAAAGATAAAAATCTAGTTCTTCGCTATCGATAAGAGTGCGCACAACAAAATGACAAAGGAAAGCTGAACACTGAGGGATGGAAAATGATTTTTTGGCAAATGCTAACCAGATACAGCAAAATTAATAAGGAAAAAGCAGAACCCACCGCAAAACACATTAAAGAAGTAAAGATGAAAATTTTAACCATACCAGGAAGAGGTGCAATCCACCAAGAGAATTAACTGTTATGGACTGTGAAGTACCTAACATCTAGGAAATAGTCTGGGCAAACCCTGATGGAGATGCGGGAGAAACTGACCATGTACGACCAGAGCGGAAAACTCACACACCTCTCTCTGAGGCTGACAGAGAGACGAAACAGGCGAAAAACATAAAGATATGAAAGACTTGGCTGATACGGCTCATTCTGAAAGACGTTCGTGAAGCTCTGTACCCAACAGAGGAATTGCACGTTCTTTTCAGGGGCACGGCACAACAACGCATCGATCGCATATCCATTACCTGACTAGCCTCTAATGATAAAGCTTCCAGCTGTCCTTCAAGTCTCATTTTTTCTTTCAGAACCTGCAACATTTCATCCTGAGTCTCAGCAACGGAGCTTTCCATGGACACACTGGAGGACAAAGCGCAGGACGAGGGACATGTGAGTGATGGTGACTTCGTAACTTTCCTCCACACTCTCCCGTTTCACACGCCCTTGCTACTCCCTCCCAGGGCTTTAAAAATTAAGTCAACAGATTTATCTAGAAAGCTCAAGTTTGTATGTACACTACCAATGAACACTCTTGCAAACAGTCGGGCATTCTCACATGGCTGGACCCTTTGGAAACGTGAGCCCACCTACGTACCTGTGCAGTTTCAGAGACCAGTCTACACAAATATTGGAGGGGAGGATATGTTAGTATCACAGACGATTGCTGATTCAATCTAATTTTATTTCTTAAAAAGCAACAGAGTTGTGTATGAATGAAATATTAATGTCAAGACTAAAGATGAAATTAGGAATGAGAAACAAACAGCGTATCAGCTTGCTGCAGTGACCGGGGCCATGGTCCAGAGAAGCTGTGTCTGAGACCGTGCCTTCCGCCCTCTCCGCCCACCCCTGCGCCCGCCCTACCTGCTGCAGATGCTGTTTCTCCGGCTCTGCACCTCCCCGTTCACTTCCTGCCCTTGGTCTTGGTGCTCGGCTGCTGCGGCCAGGAGCACGTCCTTAATCGAGGGGAACTGGCCCAGAGCGTCCGCAGCCATCTCCTGGCCGTCGACCACACGGGCAGTTTCCTGTGTGCCCGCTGTGTTCACCAGAATGCCACAGGTCCCGCGGGTGGAGAGACTGCTGTGTGAAGAACTGTCACTCTCATTTCCGTCAGCCTCAGACACGCTGTCTCCAGTTAGCGAGGCGCTCTCCAGACGGTCCTCGGTCTCAGGAGACAGGCTGATCTCGGACACAACTGACGCGCTGCTTCTACTCTGCTTCAGGGCGCCCCTGGTGGAGTCGGCAGCCGGAGCGTTTGCACCAGAACTCCCAGCATCTGAACCTTCAGTTCTGTAATCAGCCAGAGACCGAATTTTGCTTGACTTTGAACTTTTTTTCTCCTTAGGATGTGCCAACAGCCCTAAGCTGCCCACCTTAGGCCCACGAGGGACACTGGTGCGCAGGAAGGAATATTCTTTTGTCATAGCCACAGTACTGGCCCTTGGTAAGTGTTCTGGGTTTAACATGAGCTCAGGATCAAGTGTGCTAAAAAGTCTTGTTTTTGTTGCAGGTTGACTGGACTGAGAAGGAAACAAAAGCACAAAAATTATGTTTAAAATTGACAAGCAGCATTCTAAAACTGCCATTCAGAAAGGCTACACCAATGAACGCTGCCTGTACTGGTAACCAGAGAGCATCACCCACCCCCCACCCTCACCACGCAGGGTGCGGCCTCACTGCTGCCGGTCACGCTCTGCTGACTAGGCTGACCACTCCCAGGCCGAAAGCACCCTCTTCAACGAATGTAACTTTGAAACATTTTAAAACACACGTAAGAGCATCACGTTGTCATCATACTGCCTCGACAAAACGTCCCTGGCTGTTCTCCTGTTTACTCTTTCAGATAAACATTAAAAAAATTTTTCTTCAAGTTAAAAAATGTCCTTTTGAATTAGAACTACCTTAAATTTATAATTACTCAGGGAATAACAGGCTGCTTCCCTTCGATTATTATCTGCTTGCACGTCTCTCAACAAAGCAGTTACTTCAGCTCTTTCTCTACACTCTAAGCCCTTTTCATTGCCATTTTAATTTACCTCTCAGGTATTTTACCATTTTTGTTGTTATTATAACTGTTATCTTTTCCCATTAATTTTATAACTGATCATGTTAGGATAGCTACTAATTTTTCATACTTGTATTTTTTTTTAACTGACAATTTTCTGCACCCTAACTAGATCTAATAATTTTTTTTTGTTGATTCTTTAGAGTTTTCCGCGGTGCTACCAACACCTGCAAATAACGCATCTCTCTCCTCCTTTCCAACGTTCACCTCACTCACTGCTTTTCCTGATGTTAATTATAGAGTCAGCCCGAGCACGGGACTAAGGAAAGCCCCAGCCTATGTCCTCTCTGCCAAAACCAGGCGGTCCTGGTCATGCTACAAAATCAATCCCATCGGGCAGGGCACAGGCAGGAGGGTGAGGAACATCACGGAATGACACTGGAGGCGCTTGGAACAAATGGGCGGGAACAGCTAGAAAAGCGCAGTAAGGGGCGGGGCCGTGGGCACGGCAAACGTCCACGCTCGCTGTGGATGATGTAAATCTACGATAATTACATCCACTCAGGCCTAGAAAAGCAGCAGGCACAGGTGGGGTAGGTAGTTAGTTAGGAAGTGCCAGGATCAGGCACTATTGCAACCCGGGGGAAAGTCAGACCCCAGAATAAGCAATTTGAGATGACTGACCAGCTGTCCAGAGAGATCCAAGCCCTACCTCTCTCTGCAATCCAAAACATTTCAGATGATTATATGAAATATTTTTTTAAATCTTAAAAATATAAGAAGAAAATGCTGGGGAATTTATTTATATTCTTCTGATTTTGAAATTGAAAGAAATAACAAAGATTAAAATTTTTGACGGTAAATATTTAAAACTGATATTCAGCAAAAATCATGCCTCAAAAGAAGTCAGAAGACGTGGCTGTCAGGGAGGCGACACTTTCAATCTGTGCTGACAAGGGCCACTCTCCTGGTTTACGCGGCTCCTACAAGCAGAAAGACAACCGATGGAAAATGGGCAAAGACGATGACAAGAAACACAACTGCTGCTACAGGAAAGATGCTCAGTGTCAGGAGATACCATCTGTTTCACCTATTAAAGGACAAAAATTCTAGTTTTGTTATTTCTAAAGCTGCCACGGATAAGGAAGCTGGCAGTCTCATCACTGCCAGCCTGAGCATAAGCTGTCTAGCCTAATTAGAGGGAAATAACTTCTAAAATAACAAATACGTAACAGTTTTTACTCAATAATTTGATAATTAAGGATTTACTCACAAAAGTATATCAAGATATAAAATGTTCATTGCAGTATTGTTTGCAGTTTCAAAAATTAGAAAACCACCAAAGTGCTGATCCCCACGGACTGGCTACTCAAGTGCTGGTACACACACGTGCCAGTCCGAGGAAGGACGTGGCCCAGCTGTCTGCACTGATGGCGGAAGAGCTCGGCGCAGGTGGCGAAATCGGTGGTGTGGAGACAAAGGACAGTTTCTCACCAGGTGCTCTCAGCGGAGGCAGAAGCATAAAGATGTTTTCGTACCGTAAGTCAGACCAGAAGCAGGAGGGGACTTTTACTCACCATTTCGTACCATTTAAATACAATGCCTGAACGACAACCCCTGTGGTGAGGAAATACCTTCTATTCCTAACGTAGTCGTTTCGTTTTGTGTTTTTCCATCAGGAATTTTGTATTTTATACCAAACACCTTTTTAGCCCTTACTGAGATATGATCATAAAGCTTTTCACAAGGACCCATTGCTGCGAGTTCTTTTGGAAATTCCCACAACATACCAAACTTTTCATTACGTATCTGCTATGGCGATCTCTGATCAGTGATCTTGGATGTTGCCATTGTAATGATCCTGGGGCAGGAACTGCACCCATGTAAGACATCGAACTAAACTGATAAATGATGAATGTTCTGACTGCTCCACCAACTGGCTGCTCCCTCATCTCTCTCCCTCGCCTGAGGCCTCCCTACTCCCTGAAACACAACAATATTGAAGTTAGGCCAATTAACAAGCCTACAATAGCGTCTAAGTGTCCAAGTGAGAGGAAGAGTCACACATCTTTCACTTTAAATTAAAAGCTATAAGTAATTAAGCTTAGTGAGGAAGGCATATTGAAAGTCAAGACAGGCTGAAAGCTAAGCCTCTTGCACCAAAAGTTTAGCCAAGTTGTGAATGCACAGGGAAAGTTCTTGAAGGAAGCTGAAACTGCTGCTCTAGTGAACACACGAATGGTAAGAAAGCAAAACAGCCTTATTGCTGACATGGAGACAGTTTCAGTGGTCTGGACAGAAGATCAAACCAGCCACAACATTCCCTTAACATTAGCCAAAGCCTAATCCAGAGCAAGGCCCTGACTCTGCAACTCTGTGAAGGCTGAGACAGGTGAGGAAGCTACAGAAGGAAAGTTTGAAGTCAGCACAAGTAGTTTCACGAGGTGGAAGGAAAGAAGCCGTCTTCATAACACGAAAGTGCAAGGTGGAGCAGCAGGTGCTGATGGAGAAGCTGCAGTGAGCTGTCCAGAAGGTCTAGCTGAGATCACTGATGAAGGTGGCCACACTCAACAACAGATTTTTAGTGTAGACAAAAACAGCTTTCTATTGGAAGAAGATGTCATCTAGGACTTTCACAGTGAGAAGTCAATGCCTGGCTTCAAAGGACAGGCTGACTCTCTTGTTAGGGGCTAAGGCAGCTGGTGATTTTAAGGTGAAGCCAGTGTTCATTTACCATTCAAAAAATCCTGGAACCCTTAATTATGATGCCAAATCTACTCTGCCTGTGCTTTGTGAATGGAACAACAAAGCCTGGGTGACAGCACATCTGTTTACAGCATGGCTTACTGTCTATTCTGAACCCACTGTTGAGACCCACTGCTCAGAAAAAAGGATTCTTTCAAGTCTTATTATTTAAGAAATACATTTTGTAAGGCTATAGCTGCCACAGATAGTGATTCCTCTGATGGATCTGGGCAAAGTAAATTTAAAACCTTCTGGAAAAGAGTCACCATTCTAGATGCCGTTAAGATCACTCGTGATTCATGGGAGGAGGTCAAAATATGAACATTCATGGGAGTTTGGAGGAAGTTGATTCCAACCCTCATGGATGACTTTGAGGGTTCAAGACTTAATTGGAAGAAGTGGCTGCAGATGTGGTGGAAACAGCACGAGAATGAGAATTAGACGAGGAGCCTGAAGATGGAACTGAATTGCTGCAATCTCGTGATCAAACTTGAACAGATAAGAAGTTGCTTCTTACTGATGAACAAAGAAAGTGGTATCTTGAGATGGAATCTGCTCCTGGTGAAGCTGCTGTGGACATTGTTGAGATGACTACAAAGCATCTAGAACACGACAGAAGCTTAGCTGACAAAGCAGCAGGATTTCAGAGGACTGACTCCAGTCCCGAAGGAAGTTCTACCTGGGTAAAATGCTATCAGACGGCACTGCGCGCTACAGAGGAAGCTTTTGTGAAAGGAGGGAAAGGAAGAGTCACCTCCTTGCACCTCCATGCGGCAAACCTCACCGTTGTCTTATCTTAGGAAGTCACCGCAGTCACTCCAACTTCCAGCAACGCCACCGCAGTCGGCAGCATCAACGTCGAGGCAAGACCCTCCCCCAGCAAAAAGATCACCACCCGATGAAGGCTCAGATGACTGTTAACATTTTTCAGCAACGAGGCATTTTTAAATTAAGGTATGCACGCTGTTGGTTTTACACGTAATGCTACCACACACTTAACAGACTACAGCACAGTGTAAACGTAACTTTTACATGTACTGGGGAAACAAAAAGTCTGTATGACTCACTTTACTGTGATATTTGCTTTTTTGTGGTCGTGTGGAACAGAATCTGCATTCTCTCTGAGGTGTGCCTGAGTTTACTTCCTATGCTTTTCAAATGGCAGATTTGGGAATAAAATATGCTTCTTCCAAAGGCAGCGGCACCAGATGAGGGGCATGAACCCTTCGCCTGATGGTCTCCTCAGAGGCGGAACCACACGAGAGAAGCCCAATCAGCAGCTGCGCAGACCCCCAGAGCCTATCCCAGCACAGAGGAACACACGGCAGGTTCAGAGTTACACGTGACCAATTTCTGCCTCTGGTACCTGGAGCTTTGCGGGAGCTTTTTCAGGAGAGGGATACTCACCCTCTCCTGGTGGCGCTTCACTCTGTACTGTTTGAGCTGCTCTTCCAGCTGCTTCTGAGCCTGAAGTCGGACCTGCTCCTCCTTCTCCAGGGGCAGTGGAGACTCCGTGGAGCCTGTGGTGAGAAATGGCCATTCAGAAACTCATGAAAAAAATCAGAACAACAGCTTGGTTGTTTGCATTTAATTACCAATATGTTTCAGTGCCTAAGCAATATACAGCCATGTAGTTCTGAAGAACAATTCTAGATTCAGAGAAAACTGTGAGCCTTAGACGCTGACCACAGACGGGACCTACCTGGTAGGAGACACACTGGACAAGCACTGGGTCTGTGTTCGTGCCATGAGCACACTACCTTGTGTGTGTTCAATGGTAAGACAGGAGATGGTAACAAGTGCCTTTTTTTTTTTGAGACATAGTCTCGCTCTGTAGCCCTGGCTAGAGTGCAGTGGCATCATCATAGCTCACTGCAGCCTCAAACTCCTGGGCTCAAGTGATCCTCCTGCCTCAGCCTCCTGACTAGCGGGGACTACAGGCACATGAGCCACCAGGCCCGGCTAGTTTTTTCTAATTTTGGTAGAGACGGGGTCTCGCTCTTGCTCAGGCTGGTCACAAACTCCTGCCTCA